CCCCCCCCAGCAGCACACCAGATCCAAAGGTGAGCAGCTCGTGCTTGCGCGGGTGTCGTGGAGAAACCGGTTCGTTTGAGCCCCACGCAGCTGGACTCACGCAAGCAATGGATGTGACAACGAAAAACAACAAATAAAACACATATCAAATCAGTGGACCAGCGGACTGCAGGGGACCAGGCCACGGGACCAGGGGACCAGCAGACCAGAGGACCAGAGGACCAGCGGACCAGCGGACCAGAGGACCGGCCACCCACACGACTGGGAATTCCAAGGGATTTCATCGCACAACGAATATTTTTGTTGATTCGGTAAATGTTTTTTTGCTTCGGTAAATATTTTTTTTTGATTCGATAAATATTTTTCCCGAAAGCATTGCGAAGGGTTCTTCCGGAAAATCTCTTGAACACTGACACTTCGACACTCACACTCACACACTGACACTTCCACACTTGCACTTGAACACTGACATTTCGATACGTACACTTGAACGCTGACGCTTTCACACTTACACTTGAACATGAACATGAACACTTACACTTCTATACGTACCCCAGTGTAAGTGGAAGAGTGAAAGCATCCAACGGCAAGTATCCAAGTGAAAGGATGCAAGTAGCATCCAACGGCAAGTATCCAAGTGAAAGGATGCAAGTGTAATGAGTATGCATGTATGGAAAAACTTGCACGGGAGATGTCCTAGTGACAAACATTTCCCCACTTTATAAATTCTCTCTCAAAGGCGGAGGGTGGGACGAACAGCGTCAACCGAAAATGCAACCCTCTGCGGAGATCGTGCGTGTCGAGTGCGCGAAATGCAGGCGAGAGTGCGATTGGGTTTGTGCGCGCGCAACCCTCTGCGGAGATCGTGCGCGTCGAGTGCGCGAAATGCAGGCGAGAGTGCGATTGGGTCTGTGCCCGCGCAACCCTCTGCGGAGATCGTGCGTGTCGAGTGCGCGAAATGCACGCAAGAGTGCGATTGGGTTTGTGCGCGCGCAACCCTCTGCGGAGATCGTGCGTGTCGAGTGCGCGAAATGCAGGCGATAGTGCGATTGGGCCTGTGCCCGCGCAACCTTCTGCGGAGATCGCGCGCGTCGAGTGCGCGAA